GGGAACTGTGCAGATACTGTACACAGGTAAGCTGAGGTCAAGGGATTGACCCCTGGGATCTGCATCGGCTACTGCCAAAGGTGAAAACTGTTTCAGACTGATCATTTCATCTACAATTTGGCAGCATGACACGATATCTGAAGGAGCCCAATATCTTGAGAAGTGGGCAGCCATTTCCTCCCGTCAAAAGAAAATCTGCTAGCAGGCACTCGCCACACTGCCACTGCAGTTCTCACTGATGACACCTGATCGCAAGAAGCAGCATCTCTTTCAGGTCACAGAGCCACCAAGACGGACAGTTCTCTTTCACGGCCGACGCCACAGTACATGCATACATTGTTCCCGGTGCGCTGTGCTAGCAGTGTAGGTTGGCCAGGAGATTGACGCCTCGACAGAACTGGCGAATAAACTCCCTGAACTTGGAAGCAGTCATAGGTTTCGGGATGCAAGCATCCATACCATAAGCAAAACATTTTGCAACGTTGTCCGGTGCAACGTTGGTGATCATGGCGATTATCGGGATCTTACCACTCTGGAGCACGCCACCGCTCTTGGTATAGCCCTCGTCCATTCTGATACCTTTCATTGCAGTTGATGGTACGATTCCTGGCACTCCCCTTGGTCCAGACCGCATGCCTGACTTCTCCAGCTTGCGGATCATTGAAGTTGCCTCAAAACCATCCATTACTGGCATACACACATCCTGAAATTTGCCAAAGATTCCACAAGTACAAGAGATTAGCCCAGGTTCTGAAATGCGGGCTAAAAATACAAAAAGAAAAAAAAGGGGAAAAAAAAAGAGGGAGAAAAAAAGCCCAGGTTCTGAAAGGAGGATGGAGGGCCTAAGTTCAATTCATTCAGTGTATAGTACTGTACAAATAAGTTGCTGTTAAAAATCATATGCTGCAATCATTAATTCTTTGAGATGCTATTGTGAGTGAACTCGTTGGCAGAGCTACCTTTCCCGGGAACACGATGCCCGGTTCTTATGACAATATGTCGCCAGGAACGCAGCTCCCGAAATTGTCATTTTCGACAGTGGTGTCGTCGTTACACCAGCTTCCGAATTTGGAACTCGATGAAAAGTTCAGGAGCTGTCAGGAGGCGAGTGATTCAAGAGTGCTCCCAAACTTCAACTTCATGCCTGCCTGCAAGTCGATAGATTTGAGAGACCTCTGACGCACCCATGGTTTCAGCACAAATTTTGAGACCGGGTATGGGGTGCCACGCTGTCTCGTGTTAACTTTTATTGTGCAGTTCAAAAGCGCTCTGTTCTCTTCTTTTGCCAGACTTGTGCTGTTTCCCATGATTGTGCAGTTCATGACTGGGTGGGTGTCGTGCATGTCCTCTTTTTTTGGTGCACCTGTGCTGCTTCAAACTTTCCATTGATTGCGCAGCTTCAAGAGCGCTCTTTTCTAGGGAGCAGTGTGGCGAGGGAGACTCTCGAACGTTTCTTCCCGAATTCGAACATTTGAGTGCAGTCCCAATTTGTTTTGGGGATTTGGGAGTGGGGTGGCGAGGCCCCATAGCCCAAGGAGGTTGTCGGGCTCCACAAATTGCATGGCAGGAGGAGATCCATTCCAGTCTCAAAGGTCTCTGCCAGGCACTTCTAGTCCTCCTAACTCCATTGGCTCTGGGAAGTGTTGCGGGGACAGGTTATCGCAAGCTGGGGGTTCCACTAAATGATCACGGGGCACATCATCGTCATTTGAGGAGGGGAGCAATCCGGCTGAAGTGAAGTGGATGTGGGGGAGTCAGATGCAGGGAGCACAGACTGATCAGCCGAATCTATACCTAGGGTGGCTGCTAGTTGTGCACATGCAGCACAGCTCGCTGCATGGTGTATCTGGTGGACTCACCGAACTGCAACACTGTAAAACTAGTCAGCGCACCAGACTCGATATGTGCTATCCAGCAGCTGCAGCAGCAGCAGCAGCAGGAGGAGGAGGAGGAGGAGGAGGAGCAGAAGAAGAAGAAGAAGAAGAAGAAGAAGAAGAAGAAGAAGAAGAAGAAGAAGAAGAAGAAGAAGGAGGAGGAGGAGGAGGAGGAGGAGGAGGAGAAATAGAAGGAGGAGGAGGAGGGAGGACGAGTAAGGAGGAGGGAGGAAGAAGAAGAAGAAGAAGAAGAAGA